TTAAAAAACAGATGCCCAACTAAGCCGATACGGTATAAACTCGCCTGCGAACAAAACGTGTTTTGCCTGAGTGTTCAGTGTTACCTCAAGTTTCGCTCATATCTTAAGGCTAATTATCCAAAATCGCTTCCATTAGCTCATAAAGGTACTTTTGCTTTCGAAATTCATTGCAAAAAGGACTTATCGACTCCTAAAACGACGGCAAAACAATCAAGTACTTTGGTCATTGATGGGAAATCGCTTTCAGTGGAATTGCCCAGAAACTATAAATGCGTCGTGACGTCAAACTACTGTATGACGTCATGGCTTACACCACCGGTTTGCAGCAGGGCGGATAAAGGTTGGGCGGTGAAACGAGCGCGTCCGAGCAAAAAGGTGTGATGCAGTGGACTGGGACTCTGCTTAGAAATGTCGCTTGTTTTCGACTTCGGTCGGGGCTTGCGATATGATGTGGTTTGTACATTAGACACTGCCGCTGTCACTGAATTATGGCGGCTTGAATTGTTTTCTTGCACTTCTTCCTCGTTCCTTTGTGCTGGTACGCTGTGTCCGAGAGGCAAATGTTGCTATTTTTTTACGGGAGGTTTAGTTGGAGTAGACAAACATCTCTTTCAAAGGGTTTCTTTTATTACTTCCATGACCCTACCACTGAATTATATTCTCGTTGTGCTACTCGCCAATGTCGATGTTATTCCAAAACAAAAACAACTAAGTACTGTCTAAAACACGAAGGAAAATCTCATCCATGTCATCCATGGCAAAACTAAAAGACAGCAGATCGTGATTCATAACTAGATGACGTGTATTTTATAAATGCGTGCAGCTCGTGCAAGGTGAAATTATGCTAATTTCAATCACCATCTTGCTTCTTTTTAGTTTTGAAAAAAACATCTCAGACGTCTTTCTGTTTCTTCGAAACTTCAAAATTAGTTTCCCCTCAGTTTTTTCTGTTTACCTTGTTTTGTTTTAGAGAGAAAAACGTAGAAAAAACCTTACAACTAACCTCAATAAATTTTGTTTACATGCGGTTGCCGGATTTGCAACGCATTGCGCGAATCGCCATGGCGCGTTTCACCCGAGAAGCAAAGTTTAAAGAAGTACAACGCCACTATATCAGTATATATCAATCTAATTTTTTGCTATGTTATATAAAATTTATCCTCCTTTAACATATGTAAAAATTGAGGTTAAGAAGTGTTAAGCTTTTGCAAACGAAACAGTGAAAGACGATTAGGTGATATTTAGTGGAAGGAGGAGGTATTCAATACTTTCAAATTAAACTCAAATTATTTACGACCAACAAGTTTGACTTATAGACGTACAGACACAAACATATGAAACTGTTTATTGATATTGTTATGAAACGAATTTATCTATTTAACATTGTAACCTGAAATTACAGAAAGAAAAGAGGATTCCCAGTTTGCAAAAAGGAAAATTTCGCCGGCCTTGAAGCGCACCAGAAGCGCGGAAAGAGCGCTCGTGCCAGTCCTACTCCGCATCACACATTAAATGAAGAGCGGAGCGCTCGTTTCACCGCCCAACCTTTATCCGCCCTGGTTTGCAGCTCGCTAGGATCCACGCGCGGTCCACGTACTGCGCGCGCGACGAGATTATGAACTCCGTCCGCTCAGCGCTTCGCGCCTCGCTTCGCGCCTCGCTTCGCGCCTCGCTTCGCGCCTCGCTTCGCTCTGAATAAATGAATAGAAGCTTTTGACCTGTATGCTTTCTTGTGGTGTGCTTTGACAATCAAACTAGTAAAAACCGATCAACTTTGGAGACTGATACAAGTGTCCAATTATTACCGTTTGTTACAGGTTTTACCAATCTCGACGCCAGAGCTCTTCACCAGAGCCTTTACTAAGATCTTATGACTGTTAACTGTGTTGCTGGAAGCCCCGGGGGGTACTCCGGATTTGAATCGAAGTGGCAGGGATGATCGATTGGGGCAAAAATCAGCCAAACAAATCTCTAGGGCTTCAAACGAAACCCAAAAAAATCCCTGGACCAAAATTAAGCCCTAAAAAATCCCATGCCGAATTTCCGAGCCCGAAAATTTCCAGAGGAACTAAGCGGCCGGGATACGCGAGAACTGCACGAATCTTCCTATTGTTTTGAATACCCAAAAAATTCCCTACTTAAATTAACTACCCAAAAAAATACTTGCCAAAATTTTCCCACGCAAAAAAATCCTCCGATCATCCCTGTCACCGGGTGAGGCTCCTGCGGTCACTTGAGATCTGGAGTATCCCTCCTGGGGTAAGAACCTCGGACAAAAGGTTGTCATTTCTCCTTGTGCCTAAAGAGAAGAAATAACTGAAAGACACAGGCGTGTCAGTCTTTGCACAAATGAACCTGGTGCACACTAGTAAAGCACTTTTTAATAATACCTTAATACTTTCCAAGTTTCAGTTGGTTTTTCAAACTGAGTAAAGGGAGGATGGCTTACCATCTGGTCTTTCTTGGTTAGCTGTGGGGCGACGTCTAAGCTTCTCATGTCAACGCGGGCAACGTTCTATCAGTAGGGTCTCTAGGAATTCTTTCCCTACTGACTTTGTGCCCTCCACTGTCCCCTCCCCTGTTTCCCCTTTCCCCTCCCCGCTCCTCAGCCAGTAGCAAAGTCTTGGTAACCAGGCTTTGCGTTTCTCGAGAACTGCCAGACGTGCATGCAAAACATGAAATATTGAAATGAGTTTTGCGAGGAATTCGAACGGTTAGACCATGCGTTTTCCATCTCGATCAGCCTCAGACGATGTCTTGAAATATGGTGGAGCCTACTGGCTCGGAAAAAGCTAGCAGCATTGTATTTCAGTTGCATCTGGAGGGAAGTGAAACTTCGCAGATGAGCCAGAGAAATTCAAGTAAGCCCATCTGCGTGTTCTGGCCTGCCTGTCGTGTCACACTTCGAAACTAAACTGTAATTGGCATTGTTTTGGTTGTACATATTCCTACCGAAAATGCTTTCCATTGTATTGTTTCAGTGGCAACAGCAAATGACTCGCGGAACGGCGAGGGAGAAGTACTCACCGAAATACAGTTTTCGCGCCTTGAAGCACTCGACCCACAGAAACGTGAACTTCTAGAGGCGAGATTTCACACTCCTCGGGTGCGTTAAAATAAATTAACCTTAAATGTTTCATGGTGGATATTTGCCTCGTGGTTTTAAAATAATTAGGTATTTCATAGCTGCTTTTCTCTGATTATAAATGGACGCCATTTTGTTTGCTTTTAGTCATTGATTTATATCTTGGCATGGTGGTTATAAGCTTCAGTAATAAGCTTTAAATTTTTATTAGTATTTCTTGCAATTGATGTAATGTATATTAATTTTAGGGGAGTGCCTGGTAGCTTATAAGGTAACCAGATTGGAAGGTGTGAGGGGTGGGGAGGGTAGCCTGACAGCTCAAATAGATGTCAGCAGAAAAAAAAAACAAAGCGAGGGTGGGGTAGGGGTGAGAGCAAAGGAACACCTGTAAGACTTTTTAACAAAAGCTTGTTCTGGTATACCAGATTCTGGTATACCCTATGATTGGTCTATTTTGACAGCTCTTGTCAGCAGAAAGAGGTTCATTGCATTGATTGGAAATGTGATGCTCTAGCAATTAGGTTACACATCATGTTATCTTGGAAGTGTGGTGAAGTGATTCGAAATAAGCAACACGGTTAATGTGGAAGATCATCCCTGAAGAACAGGAGAAATTGTTCTCAGGCTGGATCTCGTCAAGAGAAAGCAAGCCTTCTAAATTTTACCATTTTTGTTGGCTTTTAAGCAAGGTTTTTCCTTTCAGATATCTTCAGGAATATTAAATATGCGCATGAACCATCTTTTGATAAGAGTCTTTGTTTAGCCTGCGAATACAGCCGTTTCACTTTGGCCTTGTTCTTCTCCACTGGGGATGTTTTGTTTGAAAACAGTCATATTTTTTTAAAATTCAGTAATCAGTGCAGTATGTCGCTTGTTGCTTGATTGACAACTATTAACACTGGAAACTATGCTCAGATTATTAGCCGACAAAGTGGGTGGAATGACCTTTTGAAAACAAATCTCACAGGCGTTCCCGGACTCATCTCTCCCTTTCCTCCCTCTTTTCCTCCTAGTTATTTTTTTTCTTGCTCTTTTCCATTGCACTGCACTCCACTGTCCGAACGGTGTTACCCAATACTGCAATACCATAAGAAAAAGTGGCAAATACCAAAATACCGTGCAGAAAATCGGCGAAGTACCGATACCACATTTATGATCGGTCACCTCGCGTGTCTAGTTATTGCAAGCATGGTATGCACCAGTAATCAACCTCTGCCCTTGCGAGAAAACTTGTGAAGACCTTGTATTGATTGGTATAAGTATCTAAAAGCCTGATCATTGGGTGGCCTTGGATGCTGTACCAATTTCATCATAGATTAACTGTCAGAAATTTTGTAATCATTTACCATTAAGTCTTAAGTCTTAAAAATATTGACCTGCATTAGACAGGAGAGTGCAAATGACCAGTACTGCGATACTGTGAAGGATCTCCTTTCACCGAATACCATCACTGGCCAAAAGGATGAAAAACCGCATCCTGCAGGGCTAGATGATACCAAAATAATGCTTGAAAAAAAGCTCAATGCCGCAATACCTTAAACCCCCATGTCCCCCTCGGTGGGGGGTAGGGCCGTGGTTGCATGGGGGAAAAAGAGATACACTGTAGGAGGACTGGAAAGAGGAAAACAGGGGGTTTTTCCCTCCCTAACATTCGCCCTGTTTGAGTTAGACCCACTGATTTGTTTATATCATGATTAGGGTTGGGCACAGCCTGCAGACACAGACGTATTTCCAGTTGTTGCTTCTCTCCACCGGAAAAGTAACTTGCGTTACTTTTCAGATGGAGAGAAGTGACGACCAGAAATACATCTGTGTCTGCAGGCCTGATGATAGTGATTAAGGTTAAGCACTGACAATAGTGATTAGGGTTATTAAGCTCTGACTTATAATGGTTAGTTTGTCTTTACCAAAAGAGCACACTTTTAATTAATAAGAAAGATGTTGCTTCCATCACTGTGTCAGCAGGTCACTTCTTCTTTACACACTGTATTTTTACCAAGTTTGTCTACCACAAAATTGTCTTTGTTATTGATTTCTTGTAATGATGAGGTTATGTTTTTGTTATTTTATTCCTCAGAGTATAAATCAAGATTCTCAGCATAGTAATGCAAGTATTTCCTCAACTGGAAGCGATAAAGAGTTGGAGGTATACAACAAGTCATGCAATCATCTAAGCAGCCACTGTCAATAATTCCTAATACGGTCTTCAGCAAAGACATTTTTGAGCAACACATCATCCAGAAGTGGGCGTTTTGCATTCTTGGGTTGGGGTTTGACACCTAATTTTGGCAGATCCTCTCTATAAGAGCTAAGACACTTTCCAGTAGCAATGACAATTCTGTAGTGTTGTAAAAGGGAATTCAAAGGACCTACTTGTAACTTCCAGTTGACATGCCTCTCGAAAAACATCTTTGCTGAAGCTCTATGATGAATTTTCTCCATGCTGATTCAATTAAAATCAGCAATTTTCATTTCATAATTCAAGAGTCATTCAATAATGACATCCTTTGGACATAATTAATTATTTTTATGATGCTTAGAGTCTAGTTTTCAATTTATTGTGGGGGTCATACACATACAACACAAACTACTAGGATTGCCAGAGCCTGTAAAGATTATGTTCATTCTCATGATAGACCAATTTCAATGTATTAAAATTGGTATTTGGCTTCGTTATTCGCTATTCTTTTGTTTTCTCTCCCCAAGCGTAGTAGCCAAGTATGAATTTTACACAGTAACATATCGAAATTGGTCTATTACTGGACAGTTTTCACATTATTTGATGCATGGCAGTCTTTTATGAGACCCATTTTACATAATCAGAAAAAGTATTGTCGTAATGACTCAACAAACTGTTGTACATTGTATAATCCTCTTGTTAGAGCATCACACCCAGTCAGAGAAGTGAAAAGCACTCGGGACGAAAACGAAAAGCAGCCCAGGATGGAGACTCTCCAAGTACTGATAATAATTTGATTTATTCATAGATGTAATGATTCTGATCATGAATACTTTAAAAGCTTTGGACTTCTACCAGTGACTATAGTGACTAATAGAAATAAACAATGAGAACAACGCAACTACATACAGTTGTCGAAAAAGAAGCATTGTTTATAATAAGAATTAATAGACTGCTCTGTACAGAGCTTGCATTAATTTTTGATAACTCAAGTCGAGTTACATGTGTACAGTACAGTGGCTGTATGTATTATTTATATATCACTGAAAGGTTTTATTCACAGGCAAGTTTACAGACGGTGCCCTATAACTACATGTACATTTAGGAGGATTTGAAATATGTTATAGTACCCCATCAATAAATTATCATAACTTAAGTTGGAAATTTTTGTTACCGTATTTATTCGACTATAAGCCGATCTCGGCTATAAGCCGAGACCCCAAACTTTGAACGTGTAGACTCGGCATAACGAGAACCAAAAATAAATCGAAAACACCCGGCTATAAGCCGAGACCCATTCATTATTACAAGACTGAATTGGTAACTACGGGAAAACCTAACATTTTCGGAAAAAATCACAGTGATTGTCATAAATGAGGCTTAGACGATAACACACACGCGCGTATACAAGAGATGCAATGATGATTTATTATGCAAACAGCTTCCCTCTTAGAAAGCACACGCGAATTAATAAATACTATTAGTATTAACCGTAAGTAACTATTCAATTGAAAAGCAATGAATCATAACTCAGATGAATTAATGTGATCCAAAAAATGAATTTAAAACTAACTGTGTTGTTAAGCGGCATCACCAGTACCTAGACATCCGTAGCGTCTATCAAACAATCTCGTGTTCGCAATCGTTTATTTCAAGTCAAGTTGTCATCATGCCCAAAGCTCGTTGCACGTCATACAACCTCGCGCTTAAACTTACAATAGTCGCCGAAGCAGAAGCTGTTGAAAATAACTCTGAAATCGCCAGAGAATATGGCATCAGTGAGTCCATGGTCCGTCGCTGGAGGAAAGATCAAGCGAACCTTTATAACGGCGAGATTAAATTATCAGCGAAACGGAAGACGGTGGGATGCTTCACGCCGAATATCCGGAGCTCGATCAAAGAATACTGGAATGGTTTACAGAGCGGAGAACCCAAGGTAAGTTTTTTGTCGAGCATTGATTTTGTATCTTAAAACAACAGAAACAAGATCACGAAATAAATCAATCAGCTGATTGCAGAGTGAGTATGTGTTGTTGAATGTGTGACTCTCAAAACTATCGTAGTATCATGTGACAACATTGTGTATGAAAGACTCTCATTGGCCAGTTTTCACAAATGTCAAAACAAATTCAAGACGTGTCAAATTTTTAACCTTTCGATCGTTTCGTAACCTTCTCTGAGTTCTCACTTCGTTTTGCATAGGAATAGCTGTTAGCGGATTGATGCTACGTCTAAAGGCAAAGGAATTCAGCGAGGATCCCGAGTTTAAAGCGTCCCTCGGCTGGTACCAGAAATGGAAGCGCCGCCATTCCGTCAGCCTTCGCACCAAAACAACACTCGCTCAGCGTCTCCCTGAAGATTTGGAGCAGCAAACAGTCAAATTCCATCGATTTGTAATCACATCCCGTCAGCGTCACGGTTATTCCCTATCAAGAATCTTTATCTTTTCTGTGAAAACACATTAAATTTAACAAACGGCTCCTTTAGGAGCCACCACATTCTTAAAAGTTAATAACCAACGATTGCATATTGTGTTTCTTTACTTTAGCTCGGCTTATACGTAAATACATCTCGATTTAGTAGAGTTTCCATGCGCCGGAAAAATTTTTTTTTCAAAAACTTTCGGCTATAAGCCGAGACCCCCTCTAGAGCCCAAATTTTAATTCACTTCAGTTTTAATTTGTGTAAAAATCGCTCGGCTTATAGTCGAATAAATACGGTACATAATGTTTTTTAAATCATTTTTTTTTTAAGGTGTTCTGAGTAAGAGTGGACGCTCTGAAGCAAAAATTACAGAGTACTTTAAGGTATACTTTCTTTTCAAAAATTTTTCACAATGGATGTCAGTGTCTTTTTAGTTCTTACGTTGTACATGTAATAACACTCAGTACAATTACGTTTCCTTCAGAGAAACTACTCGAACTCTCCTTTTTTTATTTTTCTGTTACAGAATGATGCTTCTGCTTCACGCAAAAGCCCTCTGAATCTAATGCCATCATTTACATCCCAGGTAACAATTTTGCATGTGAATCATGCTTTTTTGTTATTTCTTGGCTGTCACTGCATGAGTATGACATAAAAATCTCTAATTTTTTTGTTTTATGGAAAACGTAAAACAGCAGCAATAAAATTTTCTTTCTTTTTCTGAACATGAATAATGGTTCTTAGAAACTGAATTCCAAGAGAGTTTGCCTACATTAATGGCAAAGCAAGTAAGTCGGAATAATCGCGATGAAGATTAAAAAAATGTGAATTTACTTTTGGGCAACATTTTTGCTGCTGTTCCCATCCTTGGATCTTAACCCTTAAAGTCCTAATATCCACATACAAATTCTCCAAACTGATCTCCATACATTTCCTTAAAGAACTAGTTGAGAGAATTTGATAAAAGATCAAGGCATTTTCCTTTTGGTGATCATTTTATTAATTCTCATAACTTTATCTCTTGACAATGTATGGATATTATTAGGAGAAAATTGCTATTGGTCACTATTGGCACTTAAAGGGTTAACAAAGGTTCCCAATGAGTTTTAGGGATGGTTCATTGCTGGCAACTCCTTTATTTTGCATTTTAGTTTCATGCAGACAGTAGTTCCACTTTACCATATCCACTAAAAGCTCCGCTGGCTCCTGAACTGGAATCAGATGGGTCTGATGGTGTCGATTCAGCTGGAATATTCGTTCATGAGTCAACACAGGTTCGTTATTTATGTTTTTAATATTGGAGATTTTGCTACATGTTTCTGTAATTCACTCTATGCATGATTATCAAAGTTGCACTACAATGCCTTCAAAACCTAAAAATGTGAGTAGAAATGTCATTACAACTCAGAATGCACAAACAAAATGCAGCAAATGGTAAAGTCCAATTTTCACAATAAAAGGGATAAGTGCCCTCTGGCAAAAATGTTCCCTTTTGAAGCCATTCTTGTAAGTTACTCTAGTCAGATCATGACTCTTTCCTATCAAAACCACAACTTCACTCTCACAGTCAAAGGTATGATTTACGAATGTTAAATTGGTGGTTGAATTAAGCACATGTATATGGAATGTATTTCATTTGTGCCTCTCGTGTGAGATTTTGCATGTACTAGCAAAACAATGATCAAACATGATGATGAAAAATATTAATACAGTGATTTTGTTACCTCTTCGTCCTGCATCCTTGATTGATAAAAATCCCCCAAAATGCACAAACGTATATGGCAGCATCCCATGTAGGACAAAAAGATCAATTGATCGATCTGAAGATGTTTTTTGTAGGATATCCTGTTCATGTGATTTCTGTGGCTATTCTCTTGGCCATTGTTGAATGATGCATAATTCTTTAAGACTTTGTTGTGCTTTACAAAAAAATATCTGTTATCTGTCTGGTCACATAAAAGGCCAAGGCATTAATTGCAAGTTAGGACTTCCTGTTTTTTGAACTGGGACTCATTGGTTCTGGACTAGGACTCAAAATTTTTCACAAGATGAGTCCCAGGACTCACTATAAATGTAACTATTTGTAGCAAAATCACTGATAAAATTAAATTACTATTTAACAATAATAATTTTGCTGATTACAACATGTAAAAGGTTAACCCATTCGCTCCTGGAGATTTTGCCGAAAAACGCATTTTGAAGCTAGTCGAGTGGTTTTCTGGTCACTGTCTTGCTATAAAGAGCTAAAACTTACCACAAACCGGTTTACAGGTCGTACACTTGGCGGCCTTCTGATCCAGATGCAAAATATAGCTTGCGAAGTTCGGGCATGCGCAGAAAACAAAATTTCGACTTAGTTTTTGGGTTTAAAAGTGACACAGCAGTCTTGACTTTTACTTTTCGCTTTCTCTCCTCCCTTCTTTTTTCGCTTTTCTTGCCTCATTTTTTTTTTCTCTTGCTGGGCATTTAGTAGGCTTCATTTTGGTGGGAAGAGTTTTTAGGAAAGCTTTTAGGATCTTAGGATTAGGTGAAAGGAAAGGTAGGTGGGTAATGGAACAAGATTTTCATGGAGATTTTCAGGTCCTTGTCACGTGGTTTTTTGCTTCTTTCTCCGGTGTGCTTGACTGAATTGTGCTCATTCTGGTATGGTTTGAAAGATCTCTTCACTCTGCACAAGTTAGCGAAGAAAGTTGTCCTTGACCGTTAAAACTGATGACGTCACAAAGGGTAGAAATGACCTGGATCCGCACGGGCGGTTACGGGCGGTTCAGGGGCGAATGGGTTAATGATGATATTGATCTTGGTATCAATTATTATCATCATCATCATGACGGACATTCATAGAGATTTCTTCCCAAACGCCAAGATTTGCCATCGCTGTACTCAGGTCCCTGGTATCAATGAAACTAAGGATGATGATGATGATGATGATGATATTAATGGGAACAGCAAGTCAAATTGAAACTGCAGTAATTATAAATTAAAGCTACATAGATATACAGGTATTGACATCATTAGTTGGGGCCTTCACCTAGCTGTGCCGCCAAAGCCACTATCGAGCATGTATTCTCAGATTCCATACCCTGGCTATCCCTGCACCTGATGAACAAGTCATCGTCATTTTTTTATGAAATATTATTACCATAACATTATTATCATAGGTAAAAAAGGTACCAACAGTACAACTACATGTAGAGAGAATGCAGTAAAGAATGAGTAAACACTTTTGTATAGAAATTTATTTCTTGATGTTGTGGTAATATTTTTATTGTGTTTAAAAGGATTTTTGTAAGAATTATTACCTTTTATAGTAATTTAATTTGTCTTTTTTTTTTGCAGACAATATTGACAACTGAAAGTCTTCGGGTTAGTTTTTTCTTTTTTATTATCATGTACATGACTGATTGCTATGAATTTCCTTACACGTGTTGAGAATTCCTTTACAATGTGGTTTACTAGAATTGAGGGTTAGGATCCGTTCAGCTCATTGTGATCAGAAAACAGTAAATTAAAATAATTAAGACAGTAGTGAAAGGACTACTTGCCAAGTTCTAAGAGCTTACAATGGTATTTGGTAATGTTATTGTTTCCTTGCAGGAAATGGAGACCTTTTTGTCAACAGGGGTGGCCTCTTCCCAACAGAAGGAAAGCAAAATTGAAGAGCTTAAAGGGGTAACCTGAACTATGAAATATTATTATATTATGTTATATATTATATTATGTTTCACTTATTAATTTTGCTCTTCTTATTTGACCCTCTGACATATACATGTACAGGTGTATTGAAGTACATAATTATAGTACGATGTATTTTTACACCTCCCACCTTCCAAGACTTACATTGTATTTACAGCTGTAAATGATAATATCAGAAAGCAGTCCTGCTTTACACAATGTACAGGTTTCTTTTATTATGTTACAGATGATTTGCTTTGTTTTGTTTTTCTTAAGCTTGTCGAGGACTACAAAAAACAAGTTGAAGTTCAACAGGTGAGCAGTTAGATAAAATATGAGTGGCAGATTGGTTTCAAGAATAACGGACGCTCTTTAAACTGACATTATACATCTCGCTTTGACTCTGAAGATGACTACCACACAGGTTGATTAACCATCCTGGATCAGTCCACACCAAGTTGTGATTGATTAACACAGTCTATCATTTATTAGTGAAGAATAATGAGGGGGATGGGAGGGGGGCTTAAAAGAGAAGGGGGAAGGGGCTTATTAACTTTCTTCCCCTGAAAAGGGGGGCTTATTAAAGAGAGGGGCCTTCATTGAGAGTGGGGCAGGGGCTTAATAGAGGATTTATGGTAATTGGGATAATTTGGCCACGGGAACGAAAACGTGCCTGAGTGAATAATTATCTGAGGGAACTCTTTCCAATGAGCTGCGAAAGCAACCCCAATAGATCTCAAAGAAGTATTTTGAATATTGAAATATTACTTGTTCCAAAAACAGAATGCTACAAAGATTTGATTTCGTACAGGGGAGCATAAAAGTGGAACTCTCTGCCTCAGAACTTGAAATTAGTTTAATCTAAGAGCGTTTTTAAAAGGAACCTGTTGGTGGCTGTCAAATCATCACTAAATCCATAAATTTCCTTTAATTCAAATTCTAAGTATTTTTAATTACTGGCAGCTGGTAGAGATTAATTTTGTAAACATAATTTTTGTACTTTAATGGTCACTCTAAATAAACCTTTACATACAATACGGCTTTCTTGTAAAGAAGTTCTTAGCTTATCAAAACTACCATATTGAAACAAAAGTCATTCATTCATTCATTCATATTCCACCTACTCATTTACATTTTTTTGTTTGAGGACTTTTAATCAGTTTTACAAGACATTATTATCAGTGATGGCGTTCAAATGATGCAGTTGTTCAGTACAAAAATATAACACTTATTTGGGCCAGCCAAAAAGTATACATGATTGGGTATTTTTTTGGTCACATTATATTTGTGGTTACTGAAAAGTCTACTGCTCTGTTTATCATTCTCAACCTCTAGAAAGCTGTTGCCAAAGCAAAAGAAAGCCTTGAAAAATGTTTAGCCATCAACAAGAAACTACTTATAACATCTGTAAGTCATCGAAATTTATATTCAGTAGAGGCTTTTGCAGTGACAATAATATTATGTTATTAAGCGTGTCCCATTTTTTTTTTACGAACAGTCTACTCTTGAAAAAAAGGCTGGGCGAGAAAGATGTATGAAGAACAGACTGCGACTTGGACAGTTTGTTCCTGTCAGGTAATGATTAATTAACTTTACAGTAGGAGTTTTTAAGACAGAATCCACCAGGAAATTGAGTAATTTTAATTCTCAGTGGAGAAAAACCTTGTACCAGAATAATTTAAAGAATATTGCATTCTTTTTTACATTTTTCAAGGCCTAAAGATGTAATTAATCACCTGTAATAACATCAAAGAAAATTTATCATGGGAGTCCGAGAAAATGAATGTCAAATTTCACAAGAATTGTGAAAACACTGGTAAAATTCTGAAAATATCATGTGAAAGATGTACATGTAATTATGAAATTTGACATTCATTTTCTCAGGCTCCCATAAATTTTCTTTGGTGTTATTACAGATGACTAATACATCTTTAACCCTTGAAAAATTCAAAAAAGAAAGCAGTATTTAAATTAAATTATTCTGGTACAAGGTTTTTGTCTTCCATCGAGCTAGTGTGGCGCAGTGGTGAGCACACTCTCCTCCCACCAATGTGGCCCAGGTTCCAATCCTGGCATTGATGCCATAATGTCAGTTGAGTTTGTGGTTGGTTCTCTCCCTTGCTCTGAGAGGTGTTTCTCTGGATACTAAAGAACTCGTAAGTGCTTTTTTATGGGTAAACAAATAACAATAATTACAATTACAGTTAACAGTTTGTAATTCTTTTTCAGCTGATTGATCGTTGCAGACCGAAGTCACTTATGTTTAACTTTCCTTTTACAGGCAAGGAGTATCATTTGTGGAAACATGGGTTGAAGGACATGCCTTCAAGGATCTTGCTGGGTAATAATCTTATTTTTATCTTTGTTTATTTCTTTTTGCTATAAAATTACAGAAGTAAACATTGTCACTGTTCACATAAAGGTTCAAACTAACAATTCTTCAAATTCACAAATGAAACAGTTGTTAAATAGTAAAATATGCTTACAACAATGGTGACCCTAAGAAAGGGAAAAGTATGCATAAAATCCAGTTTTTGAGTTGCAGAATAAATGTTTCATTTTCATCACATGAGCCTATCAATTTCCTGATCAGTGGAACAGGTGTACCAAAGAAAGAAAGAATTAAAAAATTGTAGTTAATAGTGCATTTTGTTCAAATTCGAAAATTATTTTGCAGAAGTTGAATTGGTAATGTATACTTTCATTTAACAAAATAGAAATGTAAAGGTTATGGGCACTTCAAGATTACACCATTTCACCAAGCCCATGTAATGCATTATACTTGTAATTTTTCTTTGTAATTTTTTTATTGCTGTAGCTCAAAACGAAGTTTAGGCTTAAACTATTTCAACGTATGAGGTAGAAAAAACAACTTTTTCAACGAGCTAATACACACAACTTCACTGTCTTTTCATCAAAACGTTGTATCAAAAAAGATTGATTGCCCAAAGGAAACGCAAAGAATATTTGTTGATTATGTACATGTATTTTACTTGTATGTGTATTTATCTATGTTTTAGGCAACAAGAGAGAATAAATCAACAAAGGGAAGAGTTAGAAAAACAAAAGAAAACTTTGGCAAAGAAAAAGCCACCCTCTAACACTGCAAGTGAGTCATTCATTTAATTGAAATATCACATCAAGCACGAGGTGTTAGGTGAAGGACAACCAAGTTCAACTTGATAATGGTTATGATGATCAAGGAGACACAAGGGGGGGGGTTACTCTGGCTTTGATCCTCCCTCCCTTGTCAGTGGCCAGCTAACAGTACAATTCCAAAAATACTTATTGCAGTGGAACCCTCGATTTAACAAACCTCTATAAAATGAATTCCTTAGAATAACGAATGATTTTCTTCAGCTCAGCCAAAATTACAAAAAATGTATGGAACAAAACCTTGATATAACGAACCTTGATTTAACATAATCCTCGTTATAACAAACACAATCCGGAAACGTGAACGCAAAATAAACCTCGATCTTACAAATAAATGTCAACATGTGACCGATAGCTAAAAATCCAAAGAGGATAAAATTTATGTGTACAGTAGTTTTAAGCAGTTTTGTTTGCCTGTTCTTTTGTTTCTAGTGCCTTAGGTATGTACAGCTCTGAACTGAGACCAAAGCTTCGTACACAAATTTATTACTATTGTTTATTACAAAAATTGTTCAGATCCGGAAATGCTGGGCATTGGAAATTAATCATTAACCATACCTCGATATAATAAACGTTTTGCTTGTTTTGACAAAAATTCTTGAAATTGAGGTTTTCAATATAACAAGCCCTCGATATAACAAGCAAATTTTCCCAGTCCCTTGGCACTTCGTTGAATCGAGGTTCCAGTGTATGAGGCTGTGTACAGAGGCTTGGGTGTGCTCTGACCTTGTCCCCCTCGGCCCCCCCCCCCCCCTTCCATCAGTACATGTTACATGTACCACCATCCATCATCACTGTCACTCATTATTTGCAAATGCATACATCTACATTTAAGAAGCTTGTGTATTAAAGCAGACATCAAGGTACAGAAAAGAAATAATATTGTATTTTGTTTCTCTATTGATTATACTAATAGCCCTTTTCCACATTATTGTGAACACATGCACCATCTGTGGGCTTGGGTTGATAATAAAAAAAATGAAAATACAGAGATTTGTAAATATCAAATTATTTGATAATTCTAATAATTAATTAATATTTCTTTTATTTCCAGGTACAAAAGAAAAAAAGCTTCCAAGGACAAGCAGTGGAGAGAGTGATCAGTTTGCAAGACCAGGCTCACCAGTGTATGTACTTGAGCAAGTACATGTATCACAACATGAAAAAAAGAAAAACAATCTCTATTTAATTTTACCCTACACTGTAGTAGGACAGAACAATTATTAAATCACTGAAATAAATCAAATCAAATAAACAAGGTTAAGAACCCAATTAGCAAGTGGCAAACCTTATGGCTATGTATTGTACAAGTGTGTTTGGGGAGTTAAGCTTGGGCTTTAGAGGAGCAAATCCAGTCCAGTGCTTGGAATGAAGCCAAAAACTTGATCAACTCAAATGCGAGAATGCCTGTTTTTTTTCCTAGTTGTATTTTAAATCAAGAAGAACTCAGGGTTCCTACAAGGTCTTAAATTCTTGAAAAAAATTTCTTACATGTGCGTGTCTGCATTGCACCATGGTTACTGTACATTTGCATTGCATCACGAAAAAAGCTTGGTTCTTGCCTTTTTCAAGGTCTCTATTGATGACCTATTTGGTAACCTTGAGTCAGAAAAAATAGGCTATTGTTTTGGGAAAAGTCTGGAAAAAGTCTGGAATTTTGGATCCAAAAATCTGTACCAACCCAGAGAACTGCATATTAAAAAGTTGCAAACAGTAGGTAGTTTGATGCTGTTACTTTCCTGCCACTATATTCAGGTGTGCTAAAGAGTATTACATAAAAAAATATATATATTAATCTTCTCTAACAAGTTAATTTTATGACTGTGTGTACTGTTAAAACAGCCTGTCACCAATGGAATACCATGAGAGAGAAGAAATTTTAAAACTCAGAGCTTTGGGTTTGAAAAAGGTATGTAGATTAATTAATTCACAAGTATGTTGCATGGCTTGAATTGCTTGTGAAAGCTGCTTTTTTAAGCTTGTTGTATTTCATGAGCCCAGACACCATGCTAGAGAAGCTGCCCAGTTCTTTAATAATTGTGATATCCTGTTTTCTTGTTTTCACTGACAAGTTACACGTTATCACTTCAGCCAGGCTTTTCTGTGGCCTTTGGTTGCTTTGAAATACTGTGCAAACATGTATTCTTAATTTTTGGCCCTCTTAGAGCACCTGTGGTAGGAGGTTAGAAAAATTGACCAAAAAAAAGCAAAAGAAAAAAATAGCAAAAGTGTGGTACAGAAGGACGCTGTTAGTATGACAGTATACTTTTTATGACTTTCAATCAAGAGCATTATTATTTGACATCAGATTGTTTTCTGAACTGTATATTGGGAGCGGAGCTGCCAGCATGAATGTCAGGGTATCATGCGAGCATCTTGGCAGCAGGGCAGTCGTCATTAGCTGGGAAAGCTTGCCACCTAAATACTCACGCAATACCCCAAAAAAGTGAGCTTGCTCACGGGTTACATAAAATTGTTATTACCTAATTAATGGTCATATGCTGAGGTTGCACTGACTATGCACTTACCATGAACAATAATAATGCCACGGATGTTTCATTTGAATGGATGCCTCACAAAATCATTTTTGTTCGTGGACTCAAAGACGTTGAATTGTGTATTTTTGAAATAAAATAAATCGCACTTTTATGTGAACCAATCTCAGAACATAGTGGCTGCGGGTCATATTTAGAAACTTTTGTTACCTTGAATTATCCCCAGGAGGAGACAGATGTTCAAACGGAATTAGAAAAATTAGACAGGGAAAGAATGCTGCATATACGAGAGTTAAAGAGGACACAAAATGAAGATAGCTCGAAGTAAGTCTCATTTAGTGCATGCAGCTTTATCGACTTTGATGTGCTGTTCCTGTTAAGTTACTGTAACTTGTATGTATTACAAAATTACTTTTACTGTAGCGTGGAACTTGGCTTTAGCCAGGTAGACAGTTTTTGGCCAAAACTCCATAACTTTGATTACTGGTACATGTAGCTGTCTTTTCGCTAACATCCCTTGTTACTGCATTCGCTTTTCAGATTTAAAGATCACCCCACTCTAAACAAGCGATATCTGTTATTAAATCTGCTGGGCAAAGGAGGCTTCAGTGAAGTTTATAAGGTGAATTATGAAGTTATGAATATATGAAAATCATACATGAGAACTTCTGGGAGAAGAATTATTTGAAAGAAGATCATCGCAGTTGTAGACACAACTTTTACAGTTGCGAAAAGAAAGCCTGAAAAAAATTAAGGCTTGTATGGGATTCGAACCCTCCTGACCCTCGTCCTCCGCGATACCGGTGCAGCGCTCTTACCAATTGAGCTAACAAGCCAACCGGAATCCCGTACAAACCTGAAGAAGGTTAAGCCCTTTCCCGATAGCAAAATGATAAAACGTCTTACATTTGATAACTTGTTCCCACCACTACGACATTTTCGCTCAAAATCCTAGTAGAATGACGACGGCTACCACGTTTTCCCGCCAGAGTGACGTTAGTTCACGCTAGAGCACTACTACTTAGTACTGAGAAAATCTCTAAAGCTCTCTTATATCATAAGGGGAGATTAGATTCGTTTGATTGTTAGAGCTAAGAGGCCGGGGTATCAACGGCTCAACGGGTGCTTTCATTCTTCGTTTTTATTTATCTTCCTTCTTATATTTTGAATTATTTTAGGGTTATGACTTGTTAGAACACAGATATGTGGCCTGCAAAATACATCAACTCAGTAATGACTGGAAAGAAGACAGAAAAGCAAATTATATCAAGTACGTCTGCCTTTACTTTGGTTCACACTGTAGTTCCCAAACCTTTTTCTCTTTGTCTTTTATTCTCTATTTACACCCCTTCTCTTATTCCTCTTTTCCCTTTGATCATGTCTACCTCTTGTTTTTTCTCTTGTTACAGGCATGCGTTGCGGGAGTACAATATTCACAAGACTCTGGATCACCCTGTGAGTGGCTCTCTTGATTACCGCATTGACTATCAATACTGATTAGGGTTAAGCCCTGAGAGTAGTGATTAGGGTTAAGCACTGACTCGAAAAACGGTTAGCTTTTATCAAGGGTTAGGGTTGATGCTATATACTTCCAACTTAAAGCACTTCTTCCCAGAAAATCTTTGGTAGTCTAGTGGTTTGGGTGGTAGACTGCAGATCCGATGCTCCGGCATCGAATCCTGCTGGTGCCATCATGAAATTTTATTCCCTAAACCATTGAAGAGACTTAGACTTTCATGAACATTTTATCAAGCAGAAATTTCAAGAGACAGAAATTTTATGTAGGAAAAGGGAAGTGTCTTGTGAGAGCCACTGAGGGGAAAATGTCATTTTAGAGTATGGACAGGTTAACAGACGGCTTAGAGGACGAGATTTGACTGATAGTCTTTTTTTTTCCCGAGTATTCTAAAAAAAAGACCCTCCGGAAAGCCTCATTCCAGAAAAGTTAACACGGTTATTTTATTCGAAGGAGGTTAAAGGGAACCTCCACTTCAACAAACAGATAACTTTAAATCACAGGAAATAACTGTTACAGTCAAGTCAATCTAAAATATTTTTTTTAAAGAAAGCGTTTGTATTCGAAAGAAATAACTTTTAGATTCGCTTATTTTTGTTTTCAAATTTTGCGGGCGTCGCCATCTTGAATAATTGTGAAGTGTTACGGTTGCCCTATTGTTATTAAACAAAAGCTCTTTGTGTCAGAACAATAGAGCAACCGTAACACCTCACAATTATTCAAGATGGCGGCGCCCGCGAAATTTGAAAGTGAAAATAAGCGATTTTAAAATTCACTTTTCCTGATATAAACACTTTTTTTAAGGACAAATTTCGAACAAATTTGTTTATCAACATAATTTTATTCGATTTAAACTTATTCTGTAGTAAGAGTGGAGGTTCCCTTTAATGAGCCCTCTCCTGATCGCAAAGTGACAAAACGTTTAATATTTAATTACTTGTTTCCGCCTCTACGACATTCTCGCTTAAACCCCGTAGCAGAATGACGGAAGTACAGTTGAGAAGAATACCGGTAGTTGTTCCTGGTCACAATCGACTTAGTTCTCGTGCGATAAATTCATCGACAGTAATGTAGTTATTGTTGTGTTCGAGGTACGAGAACGCAACCCCTAATTTGTGTTGGGCTTTCTGTGCATTATTGGGTGTCCTGTGCAATTAATAAGGGAGGTTTTTTTGAGATTGCATTTTCGTCGTCGACACACATTTGCCTCGCTTTGAGGCGCTTGCTTTCGTTTTGCCTCACTTTGACGCGCTAGCTCACGTGGTGATTCTTGTGTCCTCAGCGTTCATCTTTCAAAGGTTTGCTAAGGTCTGATATTCTGTCTTCGTAAAGCGTTCATCTTTTAAAAAGTTTGCTGAATCTTCGTAAAGCGTACATCGATCTGTGTTTGCTGAATCGTCCAAAGCGTTCATCTTTCAGAAGTTTGCTGTTAAATTTTACTTTGGATTAAGCCTTCATATTTTTCAGCATGGTTCGTCACTGTCTTTGGAAAATGTCTGCGACTCCTGGTGCATGCATCAAACCGGGTTTAGTTTGGCGGCCGTTGTGCCACAAAGTAAATTTACCGAGTTGTGTAGCTCGGTGGCGCCATTTGATCATGACTTGTGATATTTTCGGCACCGGACAAGCGAACGAACACTTTAACTCTATGTTATTTATTAGAAAAAACTTATAAAACAACCCACAGTAGCGCCACTCTCGAGTCACTGAAATCAACACGCTCGACCAAATTACTGGAAAAGTTATTGACGTGAGCGGCACACACATTCCATTGAAGGCTTTGACAGGGTTAGTGCGAAGTTTGAATTCAGATGTGAACGCTTTTAAAACAGTAAATTCAATTTAATTCATTTTGTCAACAAGTTTGTGATTGGATGCTCTTAAACATAAAACAGAGAAAATTATCCCAAGAAATGTTTTCGAAGAAAGAAAAAGAATCCCGGGTTAAGCACTAATCGGCCTTTGAGCAACTGCGCCCTGTAATAGCGCCAGTAAAACAAAATGTTCTATTTACACGCCCGACGCACTCTGGCCAATGTCTCCTCCGATTACAAGCGCTTGACACCGAACCATACGATATCTTTTCAAACCCTTCTTATAATCATGATACACAGTTTAAGTAGAGGGTTTGCTGTACGCAACCGTTCAATATAAGCCATAATCATTTATCTATATCGCAACCAAACAAACATATCGAACACACTCTTCTAAGCTCCGAGTACTCCTAGTATATAGTCATAATTATTGCCTATCACAAAAAAAAAGTTATGATCTCGTTAGTTTTGTAAGAGGTGGTTTAAAACGATGTTAAATCTCAGAAAGTTCTGTTTAAAACGTTCCCTATAACAGGTCTTGTACATCGCAGCTATGATCAGCAATGACGTGTTTTTGCTTGATCTGTCAGGTTTTGTACAGTTCTTGAGTACTGCGATGGCAATGATTTGGATTTCCTTTTGAAACAACACAAAACGGTACCAGAGAGAGAAGTAAGTTTGATTCGCCATTTGTACATCTTCCCGGCATAATACACCTTATTTGCCCCCCAAAGTGGACCTTTTCACGGTTTTTTTCCAACTTTTGACATGGACAAGTTATGGAAAATCCGTCGACACCACTGGAAAGAGCGCCTTAAAATGTCTCTAAAATTGCCAAGTTTGAAAGTGATTTGTTGAAAACAATAGTTCATAACCAAGATTTCTTGGATGCATAGATAACCAAATTTTCTTACCCATGATGCTCTGCCGAGAGCTCTTCGCGCGCGCGAGAGCTCCGCTAGGATGGCTTATCATCTGTCATTGTTTTACTGAAATGAAACTCAACCTCTCATCTTATTTGACAACTTTCTGTTAGCGACAGTTTTAGTTACCACTAAATTCAACCCGGGGCACCTCTGTAAATTTTGATTGTACACTCAGGTTTTTGCAGCCTGCGCCACAGATGAAACTTAACTCTCTGAAACAGAGCCGAAATCCTTGTTCTGTGTAGGATTTGAGTACGCGTTCTTTTTGCGTTCTACCTTTACCCTCTGTTACTTCAGGGAGAGAAACAGATGATATGCTTTCATAAACGTTGATGAAACAGTTCAAAAAGGACTCACCTTTGTGTTTTTCTGTTTCTTTTGCTTTTGTTGGTGATGAATTTTTTCGCTGACTAATTCCGTAGACGCAGCTGATGTAGTTACCTTCCTTGCATCTGACTGAAGCAGTTATATCACGGGCGCAAGCATTGAAGTTACAGGTACGATTTATATGTTAATAGAGACCTTAATTAAGAGTCGGATGTTTTTCGGAGTTCCCGCAAACCGCGAAAATCAAGAAGTCAAGTGACTAGTGCCTTGCTGTCAGCTTTGCGGTTTGCGGTTCACGTTTGTATGGCTAGACAAGGCTGTTGATGTAAGTGAAGTATCACAAGGTCTTTTGTGACCTATAACGTCACAAGCCCACGTTTGAGAGGACATAGTACCTCTTAGAACTCTTTTGCTTATTAATCATCGAATTCTTTTTCATCGAAACGTAATTTTGCAAGACGATTTTTTAGCTAAAATAGACTTCAACGAATGAATGAAAACTTAAGTTCCAAATATGGGCAGACGGCTAAAGTGAAACCGCTAACTGCAAACCGCGGTTTGCGGTTTGCGGTGAGAAGGCCAAACCTCGATCTTGTAAGATCTCTAATTGTTGGTTTTCAGTGTCACGCCATTCAAAATAGATTAAATAAAAATCAAAACCGTTCAATAGATAAAGTCCAGAATCTGGGAAATGAAAGGAGGTACGTATACAAAGACCCTCGCCAAGATTTAGGTCAGAGGAATATTTCGTATACGAGATATCCGAAGAAATGTTTTACCCAAATTTATAGAGATTTGTATGGAGACGCCATGCTGGTGCTTACCTGCATGAGCTCCAACATAGCGGACGGAAACCAACAGAAACATCTGTTACCGAGTTTTGCTACAAAGGCGTGAATTTATTCTTCGAGAAACTCATAAACGTTAAAGTAATACTTTTTCTTATACATGAACTGTTTAGATAGCAAAATTTCCTGAAATAAGTCATTTTTTTAACCTACATGACAGCCCTCTTGGCCGTCATGTAAATGCCGCGTCACGCAAAAGCTTAGAAATTCAAGCGTACTCTATCACAAAACCAAGAATCCTTTTGAAGCGAAAATTTGTATGAAATTAGTTTTCAGCTGCTCTAATGCATCATGAAAGTAAAATCTCGGTAGGATCATGGATAATAGAAAGACTGGATAGGAAACTTATGTCACGTGGGCTGATTTCTAATCGCCGATTGGCTGGTTCGTGCTTCAAGATGGCGTTGACTGGTTCCATCATAGTGGAAATTTGTGACGAAATGATGGCGAAAATGTGGCGCACACCAGTCGAAATGTAGGGTTTGTTGACAGAGCGCAAAAACCGCCAGACATGCGCACTAGAGCTCTCGCCACTGTTTCTTGTATTCCCGCCTTTCGATTTTCAAAATGGCGGAGGACTAATCAGAATCTAACACGTCACTGCGGACGCTGCCAAGCCGCTGTCCTAGCTCTGAGAATTTTTCAACATCGTTAAACGGAATCTGTCAGCATTCAGCCATGTCTTGGCGACGCTAGCGAAAAGATCGGACTTAAACAGGTTCTCTAAAGCAGCGATGTTTGTGACCAGCTTCGGAACCTATTTTGAAGCTTGTTGTTTCGAAGAAGGGCAGGTTTTTTACGTTTCTTAAGGTAGTCGCTCACCCTTTAAGGTCAGGAAAGAGAAATGTTGGAGGTAAATAGTTAATGCGAAACATATCAAATATGACTTTTTTTTCGTTTCTATGAAAATTTTTTAGGGCTCTTTAAAAGTGAACTATTGTTTCATGTCTTGAATGTCAAGGAAGGCTCGTTCAACGCGAAGTTGGAAGAACTACAAGTATATTTACGTCATTTACCGCGTTGCTTCGCAATTTTTGCTTCTACTGACTGTGAAAGGAATTCGATTTGCAACTGGTTTTCACGAAAATTGAAATCTAGAACTTTGTAATCTCACATATATACATGCTATAAAAGTGGTTATCTGCAGAATTTTTTTTAAGTAGTAAAGTTCGGGTGATGTACATTGTGTTTTTTGAGGCGCTAAATATAAACACACCTTGGTGACACTGAGTCGTTGTGATTGCTCACGTTGTTTTCTCAGCGAAATCACGGCCACAGTGCAGCTGGAAAAGTCATTCTTGTTCTAGTTTCAAACAGCAGCAAAGGCATTTTTTTATGGCATGTTTTATGTTTACAAGGGGCCACGAGAACTAAGGAGCCGGTCAAGATTTAGGGAGTATGGGGGGTGGGGGCTAGGGAAAATTTTTCAAGGTTCTACAAAATGCCATGTAAATCTGTATTTCTGTTACAAATAAAGTACATCGAAAAATTTAAATTATTATGACAACTTAAAATTGGGGCCGGGGGGAGAGGGGAAGGTAAAATGATATTACTATGCAATAAAAGGAAGCGGAGCGGGGGAGGGAATACTCAAAAACAATTTTTAAAAAAAAAAGTTGAAAGAAATCAAAGACGAAAATAAAAAAGTCCACAAGAAACTTGAAGGTGGGTGCTTGTGGTTTGGTGCATAAAAATTATCGGGCGCTGGAGTCATTGTTCGCTCTCACAAGTTCCATTATCATTTACTCAGTCTTTTGCCTCTACCGCTTTTGTACCCTCTAACTGTCTTCGCCAAGAACAAGTACTCTTCATCCTTTATTTCAAAACATGGGCAATCTGGGCAATATGCGACGATTAATTAAAGGCGCGCAAAACATCGGATGTAAGAGGTTGAATGGCTCTCGATAATGTGACGTCACATTTTTCCACTATGTTGGAACCGATCACGTCAGCCAGTTTCCTATCCAGTCTTTCTATTATCCATGGTAGGATCAATAGCTTTTTAGTTTGAATTTGACGTCATGTGAAAACCAACAATAACACAAACTAAAAACGCAAAAAGGGCCTGCATTTTGGCAATAGACCATCTCCGATTTCCAAAAAGTTTCCCTTTCAAAACGAGGCTCAGTGCAAAATCTTTCTTGTGAAAATGAGTTTTATTTGCACGACAATACATATCAATGGCTTTGCACTTAGCCTCGCTTTGAAACTGAGGCTTTGGACAACTTGGAATGGCCCTTATGCATGATTACGTCAGATGAGCAAATTTCACCACCAAGCCTCGTTTGTAAGCAAAACTCTTTGCATTTGCACTCTTTGGGTGTGAATACCGTAAAATTCCGAAAATAAGCCCCTCCATGTACAAGTCCCCCAAACTCGTAAGGCAAAAAACCCTCCGTTAAATCGCCCCTCAGAATATAAGCCCCCCCCCTCCGGGGGGGGTGCTTGTAATTGAAAATTGCCCTAATACAAAGCAAAAACGGTAAATTTCCTTCCAACTAAAAGGCTAGCCCAATCGATTTTGAAACGTAATTTTCCCTCCGTAGATAAGCCCCTCCGAATATAAGCCCCTCAAAAAGGGGCTTTGAAAAATATAAGCCCCGGGGCCTATTTTCGGACTTTTACGGTATTCTTTTCAACTGTTCTGCCTTGGGATTCATTTATGCAAAACTTGGAAACTTTTCAACTTCACTTGAAGCTTGGTGGTGAAATTTGCTGGTCTGACGTAAACATGCATAAGGGTCATTGGCCATTTGTGAGGGTACGTTTCCGTTTTGATTTCATATTTATTTTGCCTTCTCTTTTAAGGTGGGCTGTTTATGTAAAGAAAAATAGAAGCTTTACTGAGGGACTTCTTCCATTAAACGCCGCGCCCAGAGACAACCTTTTCGAGTTGTGCAGCAGCAACTTTGACGAAGAGGGAAACAAGGGCCTGGAGCACATCTTAACTGAAGTCTTGCTTTTTACACCAATACACATACACTCCCCCTTTGTCTGGAAATACTTCAGTTAATTGCGCGAGAGTGACGGGGTGGTTCTTGCTAGACAGACACCCAGCTAGCCAGCGTTGAACTACGTTATATTTATAACGGATAATTTAAATAGTTAAATACGAAAAGTACATTCAATGAGCAAGAGCTGATGGGACAAAACTGTCCTGTCGCTGATCAAGGTTATTCGCTTTTAAGTTTTATCGCGTTTTTTAACCTCGGAGTTTAGTTCAGTGTTACAGCCCTATCAAGTTTATACAAAGAAAGAAAAATTCGAAGTTGGTCGTCTGAGTGGCAATAGGAAGTTTCATTTCGTAGTCGTGCTGTGACGGCAAAGAAATGTACTAAAAAGTGACTTGCACGTGCAGAGTTGTTGTTTTGCTTACTTAACCATTTTTCGATTTTGACGTTCTTGTTGCCGTTGTTGTTGCTTAACTGACCCTTCTCCAATCCACCTATCCTCGGTTCTTTCTCGCTAAAGATAAAAATAATATTTAAGTAAATAATATATGGGCTGTGGCTGGGATTGTGGAAAAACAGATTAGGTAAAGACAAGCCATTTGGAATCTCTTGGCCGAAGCAAT